TCGCCTCCTCGTTTTTCAGTAACTATCTAACTTGCTTTTTTTTTCCGCTACTTGCCTACGCATGATTTTGCTACCCCGAACCTCCCTACCCTACGCTCACGCGCAAACCACACTTATGTCGTTGCCCCTTTTTATCTTCTTCGTAGATGTTGCATTCACATGGCACCTCACCCTCTTCTAGTCGTCCCTCTCGTTCTGTATCGTCGTCATATAGCTATAGCGAACTCACACTTCACCGGCCGTTTGTGATAGTGCCCTCTTGGTCTGCTAGAGTCTCACTCGTAGTCTACCTTATTCGCGCGTTCTGTCCATCGATTCGTACTTATGCTCCTCTGACTCAACCACAACTTCGTGTTCGTTAGCTCGCGCTTCAGGAGCGCGGCGCGCCGGTGTTCCGGCGTCAGAGAACGTTATATGTATCAGAAGACAAGAAGATCTGGATGGCGATGGGCGAGCAAAAGAGGACGCAGGAGCATCATGACAAAGTATCATTACATACATGGGCGAGCGAACGGGAACAAGAGCGCAAGGCAACTGATAGCGCACATATGACTCGTGCGCGGACGGCTGCTGCTGCTGTTGCTCTCATCGTAGCTGCGTAGACAGCTGCTGTGGGCGTGATTGAGAAAATGGTGACACGCAAGGTAACAAGAATCAAACTCACCTACGACTGTACCACCTAGTCCACCTATATCAGCGCGGCAAATAAGCAGAGCGCGACGGACGGCACGACCGACGCTGCCTCCTCCTCTACGTCTACTACGACCGCCGCGTCACGGTGTAGCCATGCTTCTTGACGCTCTTCGAGTACCGACCGATACACACCTTCGCGGTCATCAAAAAATTTCCATTCATAGTATGCGCATTGGGTACACATGTATATACGTTCGCGAGCGTAATCCGTAGATAAAAGTAATCAAATAAAAGGCAAAAAGGAAACCCAAATGGCAACCCTCGATCAACAAACCCCTAGCAGAATGGGGGGGAAGTAAATGACAAAAGGTAACCGGTAACCAGTAATCGATTAATCCTCCAACCATAACAAAGAAGACAAGATTCACTCATTGCACAAGCAAAGTCAAGAGGGCTGATAAGGAACAAAAACATATATGCACTGCATGGATAAATCTCAAGCGACGCCGGCAGGACTCGAACCTGCACCCACAAAGTGGAATTGATGATTCTTTCGATATGTTCACCTAATTCTAATCAATCGCCTTAACCACTTGGCTACAGCGCCGCAGAAAAGAGGAGACCTCCGTCGCACCATCAGGGCAGCCATGCCTGAAAGCACGCAATTATATTGAGATCGAGGGTTACATAGACCGCTTGGAATTAGGAATTATGACTGTGGGAAATGAAAGATGTGATTTTCTGACGTAAAGTGGACGTACTACTGCGTTAAGTAATTCTTGTTTGACTCGTTGCCAGTCGCAAGTCGATCGCTCGTGCCAGTTGCCTGATATGTCAAACACACACTTGTTGGGCAGCAGTGACCTTTGGTATGGCGGTCCCCCCCGGACAAAATTCAGAGGGGTTTACTTTGACGCTGTGACATGACATGATTCACCGTGATTACGGTCGTGGTTTAATGTTTAACTTTTGGGCTGTTTTTGATCAATAACAGTGAAGTTTAGCTTTCAAATAAATAGGTTTAACTTTGCCTGGGACCCCCGTTACGATGGTCACACACAAAAGTAATTACACAGATCATGAAACCTAAGCTCTTTGTGGCCAAATCAATTCCCCGGTGTTGCAAAGTTAAAACAATTACGCCGCTTAGTTCACAGCCCCACATCAATTCCCATGATCCAGACCCTAACTCGAACTCTAACCCTAACTCTAACCCTGACCCCAACACCTAACTCTGACCCTAACATCTAACTGACCCTAACACCTAACTGACCCAAACAGGTAACTCTAACTATAGACTGCGTAAAATACCATGAAATTTTCGGTATGTCAATAGAATTTATGGCAATATCAGTACAAAAAAGTGACTCATGTGTCATGGAACGATCGATCAAAGTTAATTCCGACTTGTGATCAGTGTGATCTCGCTTAACGTTGTGGTTTAGCTTTGCTGATGGGGAGAATAGCTTTCATGATAAATATAATTGCTTTTGATCCATGGGGTTTTGGTTCCCTCCCATCATGTCACAATCATGATCGACGCCAAAGCACCTCTTCTATCATGCAAAAGTAAAACCCCCTGAATTTTGTCCAGCAAGGACCGCCAAACTTTGGCCCTGTAAGAAGTACTTAGAGGAATGATGTCGGTAAGTAGAGCTTTGAGGAAGTCGAATAGTTTAACTGGCCAATTGGACGGATCTGCTTCCGCTCCCGCGGGAAATCGAATTCGGCAATATCATCAATCTGCACGACTTGTCAGCGATGATCTGCGGGCGCTGTAGCCAAGTGGTTAAGGCGATTGATTCGAATGCATGGTCGCACATAATCGATATCAATTCCACTTTGTGGGCGCAGGTTCAAATCCTGCCGGCGTCGTCGTAAGAAATTCGTGGTGCATCTCTTGTGACAGTTTCGACTGTACCTTTTACTTACACCTCCGAAAACGTGATCTATCCTTAGGCCTATGTATGCTTGTGGAACCTTGTTCTGCAAGTACCGCGTTGATCGCGCCCGTTCTTGAGTCGGCTAAATTTGTTTTCTTATCCTGGTTGTATTATGTGTACATGACTCTTCATGATGGCACCTTACGCGTCATTCTCGGCGGTCGGTTCTGTTACCTAAGATAAAAGATATAAAGATGTGTTCACTCGATGCAGATAATACCTGCCTCTTTTTCTCTTCCAACTCTTCTGACAATCTGACAATCAAAAGAAATGCAATCTGCTTCACCCAAGGTTCTTATTGTGAGTGCAGCAATTTCCACGCGCAGGATACCAGAAATTGGTCTTGATAAATGCGCCCTTGCATGCAGGTTGGCGCAGGACCGACCGGTCTCGTGCTAGCTTTGGCTCTGGCCAAGAATGGCGTCCCCGTCCGTGTCATCGATAAACTCGTCACACCGCGCATTGGTCAAAAGGGTCCCGGCATTCAGGTAGGCATGACGTTCAACCTCGAGGGGGACGACTGTGACGATGTACTGACGATCATCTATACACGCACAGCCCCGCACGCAGGATGTATACCAATTTCTCGGCGTTCTGGACGATATCGCAGCAGCTGGACGTCTGCCCCCCAAGGTGCACCTCTACAAGCTACCTGGGGGCACTGAGGTCGAAAAGGCGGTTGAGATCGCGCCGATCCTTGAGCCGACGCCTGCGCTACCCCATGTACGCTATCATTCTCCGTATTTTTACTCGTTTGTGCTGCATCATTCATTGTTCCAATGACCCCAATAGCGCAATATCGTTATGCTCGGCCAGGATCTCCACGAAGCCATCTTGCGCAAACACCTGCAGAAAGCCGGGTACAATGTCGAGAATGGCGTGGAGCTGCGCTCGTACGAGCAGTTTGACGATCGTGTCGAGGTGGTGCTCGCGAAGCACGGCGCGGGCGGTTCCGACATTCGGGAGACCGCGGTCTTTGACTACGTAGTAGGCTGCGACGGTGCCAAGAGTGTTGTTCGTCATGGTGCTGCCTTCACCTTCGAAGGCGAGACGCGTATGGATGAGGCGCTCGCGGTCGGCGATATCGATGTTGTCGAAGGATTGGGCAGCGAACCGGTGAGTCGACTGCAAAACATGTGTTTTGTCGCATATCGATACCGATGGGGCTGTTTAGATATGGCACCGCTGGGGCATAGCGAGGACCGGAATGTTTGTTTGCATTATGTATCGGACTTGTAGGCACTGACGATGGCTCTAGGGTTGTGATGCGCTCCTGTCCTGATGTCGGCGACAGACGGTTCAGTTTCATTGTAAGCTTGCCTGGCCGTGTCGATGAAGTACTAACTGGCAGGGACAAAGTGATTGATGCATTCTACGAAATCACTGGACGCCGCGATGTAGAATTCGGAGAGTTGGTTTGCCTGAGCAAGTATCAGTGAGTTAATTTTATTATTCGATGATGTTGTGTTGCTGAAAGTAGTGCGTGACCAGGCCGAACATGCGAATGGTCAACGATTTTAGGATGAATCGAGTGTTTGTCGCGGGTGGTGAGTGTGCAATGCCGGTTCTTTTGTTATTGCGACTCACGGTCTGTCCATCTGACAGATGCTGCTCATGTTCACAGTCCTACTGGTGGACAGGTGAAAATCCCATGTCTCGAATTTGTGCTATCTATTGATCATGTTGCAGGGCCTGAACTCGAGTGTCCAGGACGCGGTCAGTCACTCATGATCTCTGCCGTTTTTCTGCTGACATCGTAATCGCTCTGCAGTACAACCTCGCTTGGAAGCTCGCCCTTGTACTCAAGGGCTTCGCTTCGCCGACGCTTCTCGACTCTTACAGCTCGGAGCGCATCCCTGTTATAGCCGAGATGCTCAACCTGAGCACGCGGCTGCTCAACAAGACATTTGAACATCGCCCCGATCCAGACTCGACACTCCATCGCGGTGGCGCACTGAATCAACTTGGTGTCAACTACCGCGGGAGTCCCATTGTCATTGACGAGCGTACCCCCGACGGCCAAACGAACAATCCTAGTGTGTATGTCGCCACTGGTATCCTGCAGGCGGGTGACCGTGCGCCAGACGCGCCGCTTAACAAGGGTGGCGTCATTGTAAGGCTCTTCGACATCTTCAAGCCGGCGGAGCATCACGTCTTGGTGTTTTCCACCAACAGAGACGTGGTAGACACAATCGCGGCGGCTGTATCGACATTTCCTGCAGGCACGGTGTCTGCGTCGGTGATCGTCCCTGTCGGAGCCTCGGTTGATGATGTGAAACTTCCTGTATTGGAGGACAAAGGTGGCGCTGCGTATACGGCATACGATACCTCCACTTCCACGGAGACGATGATTGTGATTGTACGCCCTGATGGGGTTGTGGGGGCAGTTCTTGTGAGCACAGATGGGATAAAGCGGTACTTTGCGAAGATTTTCAATGCGTAGGATGCGTAAATACTATGAAGGCGAATCTCTATAAATGAAAGAATGGAACCCTGGATTCATGAACTACATTTTACATATTTCTGACAATCGAAGCCAGGGTAGAAGTTCAGACTCCGAACGTATAAGGTATGACAACGGAACGAGACCAATCCGGGAGTGGTGATAAGCGTTAGACGTCGTTCCCGTGATTGCCGTGTCTCAGAAGTACAAACGCCGTGATGATCTACAGACGTACTTCCGTTGGAAAGGGTTTGTGTGTCGGTCTCGTCGTCGGATCCTCTGCTCTTGCTTCCATCATGTCCTTAACTACGTGGTCCCCGTGTCGGTCCCATCACAGACGTTACATCGGTCTTGGCATCAAATTTACGCCTCAAATCCTGTCCGCGTCGTCACCATTTCATCAGTGTTTCGTGTTTTCCCAAAAGAGAGATCTCTTCTAGCGGCGACAGCTTCGGCTGTGCCTTTAGCTTTATCCCTCCAGAGCATATCTGCAAGCTCGTGGACCTCGTTCAGTACCACATCCACCTTGTCGTACAAGGTCGTACACATTGAATACAGCGGTAAACAAATTGCCCCTGTTGTCGTAGAACCGTTCCAAGATATGATAAAGATATGATAAGATCACACAACGGAGATCTATGTAACCGTGTCTCGTCATCACGATGGCCTCAGGCTCGTCGCCGTCCATGGCCGTCCTTCCGCGTCATTCTCCTGAGTCTTGATCTTATCGTATAAAGATGGGGCACCGTTCACACGCCACGGACAACCATACCAGCTCTTTTCTCTTCCCACACTTCTGAAAATCAACGCAATGCAACCGCCCTTGCCCAAGGTTCTTATTGTGAGTGCAGCATTTCCTCAGGGAGTCCACATGCAGGATAGCAGAAATCGATCTTGACGCGCCATCTTGCATGCAGGTCGGTGCAGGACCGACGGGTCTTGTGCTAGCTTTGGCTTTGACCAAGAATGGCGTCCCCGTTCGTGTCATCGACAAACTCATCACGCCGCGCATCGGCTCGAAGGGTCCTGGCATTCAGGTAGGCACGTTCAAGGCTTGAACTCGACGGGGACGATTGTGGCAATACCGACGATCATATACACCCAGCCCCGCACGCAGGATCTGTACCAATTTCTCGGTGTTCAGGACGATATTGCGGCGGCTGGACGTCTGCCCCCCAAGGTGTACCTCTACAAGATGCCTGAGGGCATTGAGGTCGAAAAGGTGGTCGAGGCGGTGCCGATTCTTGAAACGACGCCCGCGCTACCCCATGTACGCGACTCTCCGTATCAACTGACCAACTTCGTTGTTGAAGTGGCCCAATAGCGCAATATCATCATGCTCGGCCAGGACCTCCACGAAGCCATCTTGCTCCAACACGTGCAGAAAGCCGGGTGCATTGTCGAGAGTGGCGTGGAGCTGTGCTCGTACGAGCAATTTGATGACCGCGTCGAGGTGGTGCTTGCGAAGCACAGCCCGGAGGGTTCTGACATTCGGGAGACCGCGGTCTTTGATTATGTGGTAGGCTGCGATGGTGCCAAGAGTGTTGTTCGGCATGGTGCTGCCTTCACCTTCGAAGGCGAGCGTCTGGATGATGCAGCTGTCAAGGGAGATATCGACGTCCTTGAAGGATTGGGCAGTGAAAATGTGAGTGGGTGGCAAATCTATATTTTGTTATAGAATGATATCGATGGGACTGCTTAGGTATGGCACCGCTGGGGCTCAGTGAAGACTGGAATGTTCGTTTGCATTTGACGGAACGTGGCGGACTTCTATTTACTGACGATGGCTCCAGGTTTGGCTTGCGCGCCTGTCCTGATGTCAGCGACAGGCGGTTCAGTTTCGTTATAGGCCCGCCCGGCCATGCCGATGAACTGCTAACTGGCAGGGACAAAGTAATCGATGCATTTCACCAAATCAGTGGACGCCGTGATGTAAAATTCGGAGAGTTGGTTTGCCTGAGCAAGTATCAGTGAGTTGATTTTATTATTCAATGATGTTGCATTGCTGAAAACAATGCGTGACCAGGCCGAACATGCGAATGGTCAACGATTTTAGGATGAATCGAGTGTTCGTCGCGGGTGGTGGGCGTACAATGCCGATTCTTTTGTTATTGCGACTCAAAGTCTGCCCATCTGACAGATGCTGCACATGTTCACAGCCCTACTGGTGGGCAGGTAAAATATCATGCCTCAAATATGTGCTATCTACTGATCATATTGCAGGGCCTGAACTCTAGTGTCCAGGACGCGGTCAGTCACTCATGAGCTCTGTCATTTTTTTTTTTGCTGACAACGTGACCGTCATACAGTACAACCTCGCTTGGAAGCTCGCTCTTGTGCTCAAGGGCCTCGCTTCTCCCACGCTGCTCGACTCTTACAGCTCGGAGCGCATCCCTGTCATAGCCGAGATGCTCAACATCAGTACGGGACTGCTTAACAAGGTGATGGAGCACCGCCCCGATCCAGACTCGACGTTCCGTCGCGGTGGT